GCAAAAAGGACTGGAGGTCATAGGACCAGTTCAATCGGAAGATTGCTCCTTCCGCCGCCTTCATGGTAGCTTTCAGGTTTCCTGAGCAAGGGCAACTTTGGTGCGACACTAGCCGTCGACTGAGTTGGTCCAAATGAATGGTTAGCACGACCTTGAGGTGAGCATGGGCGCCACGACAACCCAGTTAGCGGCTGATCCTGTTAAATGCCTGATGTGCAGTCAGTCACAAGGAAGGTTGCCCTGCCCTGCCTTGATTTGGGAACTCGCTTTTGTATGCGGTGCGGACGCAGTGTCTGACAAACCAGCTTTCCTTCCTCGACGTTCACTTGTCCAGACAGAAAGATGGCTCCATTAAACGGACGGTTTTCCATAAGATTATCTGGAAAGGTCAGTATTTGCATTATCTGAGTTTTGTTCCCATTCAGTGTAAACGTAACTTGGTATATACTAGTTTCCAGAGCACCAGAAAAACCTGTTCTATGGATACATTGGATGCTGAATTAGCCAGCCTCAAAGCTACCTTATTGAAGCTGGGATATCCAACTCAGTTTACAAACAAGTATATTAAATCCCTCCGACCTAAAATGACTCAACAGTTAGCACCTAAAAAGCCTGTTCTCATTTCCTCGCCCTTTAAGAGTGAAAACATTCTGAATACCATCAAGAGACGCCTTCTCATCGCCATTGAAAGGACTTACTATGCTACCGAACTCATAATTTGCAATACAGCGAAGCCCTTACCGATTTCTTATGCGAAGCATGCCTTGCCGTTGCACGCCACTTCAAACTGTGTTTTCAAATTTACACGCACCTGTGGATGCAAGTACATAGGACGAACGCAACGGCAATTGGCCGTCAGAGCTAAGGAGCATTTACCTAGCTGATTATTGAAACAAGAAAACAGAATTCCCCGTTCATCGATTAGTGAACATTCGCTAGACACGGGCCATTCTGTTGACTCCATAACTTCTTTCCGAGTACTTGTTCGGGCACGAACAACTCGTACATTACGCTACCTGGAGGCAGCGTACATACGGCGGTCAAAACCCGACCTATGTAAACAGCTGGAGCCTGTACTGAACCTAACACTGCC